CAGTCAGTAGTTTTGAGTCTCTCATCCATGTATATGTATGTATATGTAAATATTCTATTTTGAGACTCGAGTTGCCCTTTGGGCCATATTTTTATCAGTTAAGTTGTTTATGTCTTTGCATGGCATTGAGTTATTCTGTTGAGTCAGGTTTCCGCTGAGTTAAGAAGGCCAGGCCAAGGGTTCGCTTGGGGCCAGCAATGGTCTCCGAGTGCCGGTCCTGCCCAGGGTGTAGGCTCGGAGCGTGACAACTAATCTATTTAGTTGATTATATTTAAAGAAAAAATTAATTAAACTCTTTTAATCTATGCTTAATTACTATATTTTATTAATTTTATATTACAAAATAATTAAGTATAATGTTAAGTAGATAAGATAGTCATTTGTAGTTATTATTAATGAGAAATTTAATTGTCTCTTTTCAATAAAGAAGTTTATTTTAAGTGAAAAAATAAATTTTCAAAGGTATGCGTTGGCACCTTATGATCATAATTGAGTTCAGGGGAGGGGTAGAGGAAAGAATGTATGTTATGTATATGTTGAACATAATTTGGTATATAATGAAAAACATATTAATGTATAAAAACAAAATACAAAAATATTTTTTTAACAAAGCGTACAATTTTTTTATAACTAAACAATATTTATTTTTAAAAAATAAATCTGATAAACTATACGCACACAAAAAACGTTTTTTCACTTTCCTTGGCAGCCAAATAGTTTGTGTTTTAGTAGTTCAAGGAGTTTGGAGAATATAAAAAAGTTAGTTTTGTTTGAGGGAAAAGTATTGAGGAAATAAATGCAAAAATTAAAACAAGGATATTCTAGTCTTTTTACAGTTCTGGCCAAATTCTGGCAAATTCTGGCCAAATATTTCTGGCCATTTAAAAGACAAAAGATGAAAGATATATACAATTAGCATCGCATAATTTTTAAAATGTTTTCTTTTTCTGATTAACTTTGATACTAAAAGAGAAAATGGTCTAAAATCCCCCCAATCTATACCCGAAATCTCAACTACACACTTATTCATTACGGGAGTCCTATTACCCCCTTACACTATTTTAAAGTAGAATTATTTGCTCCCTGAATGATGAGGTGGCAAAGAAAGTGTAGTCACTCTCTTTGAGAGAGTGAGAGGTAAAAATAATAATTAAAACTTTAATTTTAAAAGTATTTCTTAACTTTTATATTATTATTTTTTGATTCTTTCAAAAATCTTTATGTTTCTTTTAAAAAGAATTCTTTTTATCGTCTTTCTTCTTCTCTTCACCAAAGCTACGTCGGCCTGCGGCGGCTCTGCTCCACCACCAGGTCACCGCCCTCACCGAGCTCTAATCATTAAGTTCACTTTCATTCTCAAATCACAAATTTCTCACAGTAAATTCACTTCTCATCAGTGTGAAAAATTGACAAGAACCCAAAATCGAAATCGAAAGTCAAGAGGATCGAACTTTAGAGTCATTAATGGAGAAAAATTCATCAAGTAACAGATCCATCAATGGAGAAGAATTCATCAATGAAATCATTAGGTAACAAACCCATTAATGAAAAAGACCCAATAATCGAAATGGGTTGCTCAACATTGTTAAATTGTTGCTTCAATAGAGAGCAATTGTCAAGATCAAAGAAAAAGAGGAATGGAAAAGGAAAGTAAATCAAAGAAAAAGAGGAATGAAAAAAGGAAAGTAAAAGAGAAAGATGGAAATATAGTGAAAAATAATTGCAGAATAAAAATTTTCTTTTTTAAAAAAGGTAATATTACGTGGCATGCGCGTGCAATTCACAATTTTATATAAATCTGGTTGTGTGTTTTTAAGGAGGTATATATTATACTTTTAAAATGTTTAGGGGGGTAATAGGACTCCCGTAATGAATAAGTGTGTAGTTGGGATTTCGGATATAGATTGGGGGGATTTTAGACCATTTTCTCATACTAAAAATAAAATTCATACAAAAAAAATTTATTTTTTCATTAAGTTGTATTAATTTAATAGATAATGACTTAAAATTTTAATTTTTAGAGGTCAATTAGAAAACATGTAAGAAATTGTATTATTTTTTATTGAACCATTTTCATTTACTATCTTCAATATTTTAGTAGCTTTAAAGAAATTATCTTAATAAATAATGCTCTATAACTTTTATAACATGTAAAAATTAAAATTATGTTTGAACCCGCTTATAATTACATATACCCTCCAAAAATGATCATGGTTATGGTTAAAACCCAAATCGAACCGCAATCCGAACCAAACCATTAAAAAAAATCAATATTTGTTTTGGTTTGGTTAGGTTTGGTTTTAAATTTTGAAAACCGATACGATTTGGTTTGGTTTTGATTTTACTAAATAAAAAACCCAAAAATAACCCAACCGAACCGATTCATTAGATATATAAATTTTATAATTATTTATATATTACTCATAAATAAAATATAAATATTTTATAAAATTTTATTTAACTTAAGTCTTTAACTTTACCATTTTCTCAAACCCAACACGTTAGCCCAACTATAACAATCCTAAGTCCAAGTCCATCAAAATTCATTTTAGTCTTTAACTACCCTACTTCACATAAAATAGTCATACTTTCTCTTAATTGAATCACTTTGTTCGTGTAATGATAATTTTTAGTATTGTTTAATTGATGCGATAGTAACTTTTCTATGGATTGTTCATGTACAAGGTGTTTGTGTCTATCGAGATACGTACATCCTCAAAAAAAAAATTACTTTCAAACCGAATAAACCAGAAAAACTGAACCAAACCGACGGATATTTTTTTCGTTTAGCTTGGTTTGGTTTTAGAAATTTAAAAAACGACTAGATTGGTTTGTTTTTGGTTTTTATCAATAACCGATCCAAATCGAACCACGAACACCCCTAATACCCGCAAACCGCCCCGCCCTACATTAGTTTGAAAAACACCACTTCAACCCGCCCCACTCCGCATAGCCTCAAACCCACTCCGCCCCGCATCCGCCCTGCTCATCGTCATCCCTAACAACCTACTATTATATTTAATGAGATTATTTTCAAAACAAAAACTTATCCAGGAAAAGTTTTTAAAAAAATTGTTACTTTTTGAAAAAAATATAAATAGTATATATATATATACACTTAAAAGTAGACACCGCTTGCAAGATATCCTGTGTATGCCACTGATACTAATAATAAACAAAGCTAATATATGCATTATTTTTTCTAATACACTCTATCAAACGACAAGGAAATTTTGTGTTTTTGCTTGTTTTCTTTTATTTTTTTAAAATAAGTCATTTTTTGGACAAGAAAAACAATTATGTTGTTAGACAAATAGAGCCAAACTTGACGTTTCCCGTAAGACTTGGGCCATTGACTTGAAGATGACAACATTTTCCAAAATTTGGATTGATTGATTATTTGATATGAATAAATTATACGATCAGTAATTTACTTCATAGAAGAAAGTTTGAATTAGAAGCATGTATATATATGAAGAATGATTATTATTTTCCCTACCTAATAATTTCTCTTTGAAATTTTTACAAGACTAGTAAAATTTAAAGAAATGTGTTTAGTATTTTAGAAGTGAGAAAAAAGAAAATTTATAGGCTGTGTTTCCATTCAATTATGGAGTAGTAGTCTTTGGTGTAGTAAAATAGAAGTTGATCAATCATATACAGTGTATTCTTTAAAATCAAATGTAAATTTAAAAAAAAATAAAATAAGTAAAACCTTATCCGCAATTGATGTTTATATCAAGTATTCAATTTAAAGACTTTGTGTTATAGCTTTTTTTGTGGAATAACTTCAGAAACAACAAAATTTCCATTATAATTGATACATAAATAGTCTTTTTCTCGACTTAAATTAGGTGTTTTTTTTTTCTTTTAAGGACAAGAAAATGAAACTTCAATTAAGTGGAAAGCACTCAAATAGCATTGCCACAACTAGTACTTTTATTAGCTAAAATAAATTATTTGCACAGTTCTTTTTTTTATATTTTTAAACTTGGATTATTTCTAAATTATTGAATATTATATTGGAATACTGGTCATAAAATTAATATTATAATTTGTGACAAATTCATTAAAATATTATTCTACTTGTAATATTAATGAACTTAAAAGAAACGGTTATAAATACCTAGATTAAAAAATAAATTATATAATAATACAAAAAGGTATTAGATATATGTGATATAACAAGGATAAAATGGACAATGCATAAGATAAATGGAGGAATTTGATTATTATTCAAAGTTGTGGGAGGGGAGTTTGATTTTTAAAATCATATCTATTAGAAAAGATCAATATTTCAAAATTATTATTATTTTACAGAAGAGTCATGATACTCTATCGTATTTATGACGTTGGACTAATTTGAGAATTATATTTCCCTATTCATTTATCAGACTAAACGAACTATTCACCAATAGGATAATTTATTTAAAAATAATAATAATAATAATAATAATTATTATAAGACTGACTTGCCATTGACTAGCAATACCTTAAAAAAAGATCTCTACAATATAAATAAATGTGTACACTACACAAGTTCATCAAAAGAAAAAAAATCCAACAAAATAGCATATTATCAATATATTTGATGATGGTTCCCAAAATAGTTCAATTTCTCATTCTCTTATATCTATTTACGGTTACTTTTGCTTCCAAGGAGGAAGAAATTGCCCTCCTAAAATGGAAAGCAACTTTCAAGAACCAGACTAATTCCTTATTGGCTTCATGGACTCAAAGTTCGAATGCATGCAGGGATTGGTATGGAGTTATGTGCTTAAATGGTAGGGTAAGCAAGTTGGATATTCAAGGTGCTCGTGTCATCAGTACACTCGATGATTTTCCATTTTCGACTCTTCCTTTTCTTGAATATGTTGATCTTAGTGTGAATAATATCTCTGGAACTATCCCACCTGAAATTAGTAATCTCACTAATCTTGTCTATATTGACTTGCACACCAATCTGATTTCAGGCACAATCCCATCACAAATCGGGTCATTAGCCAAGCTCCAGAACATTTACATCTATGACAACCTTTTAAATGGTTCCATTCCTGCTTCATTGAGTAATTTGACCAACTTGTCTATTTTGTTTCTTTATCGGAATAATCTTTCTGACTCGATTCCTACCGAAATAGGTTACTTAAGGTCTCTTACTTCTCTAGATTTGGGTACTAATTCTCTTAATGGTTCTATTCCTACTTCATTGGGAAATTTGACCAGCTTATCTAGTTTATTTCTTAATGGGAATCACCTTTCTGGCTCTATTCCTGCTTCATTGGGGAATTTGACCAGCTTGACCTCTATGTATCTTCGTGAGAATCATCTTTCTAGCTCCATTCCTGAAGAAATAGGTTACCTAAGGAATCTTAGTTATTTGGATTTGTCTACTAATTTTCTTAATGGTTCTATTCCTGCTTCTTTGGGGAATTTGAACAACTTGTATCTTTTGTCTCTGTATGCTAACAACCTTTCTGGTTCGATTCCAAGTGAGTTGGGGAATATAGGAAGACTTGTTACTATGTTTTTGAATATTAATCAACTCATTGGTTCAATTCCAGATTCCTTTGGCAACTTGAGAAACTTGCAATGGATGTATCTCCACAACAACAATCTCACTGAGAAAATTCCTTCATCTTTCTGCAATTTGATGAAATTGGAAGTGGTGTATTTGGGGAGAAACAACTTTAGGGGAGAAATTCCGCAATGTCTAGTTAATATCAGTGGACTCGAGGTATTGAAAATAGAAGATAATAATCTCAGTGAAGATATCCCTTCGTCTATTTGCAATCTAACATCACTAAGGATTTTAGATTTGGGTAGAAACAATTTGAAGGGAGCAATTCCACAATGTTTTGGCAACATGGGTGGTCATCTTGAGGTTTTGGATATCCACCAAAACAATCTTTATGGGACCCTTCCAGAAACTTTTAGCAATGGAAGTGTACTCAGAAACTTAGGCTTGCATAACAATGAATTAGAAGGAAAAATCCCCCGATCTTTAGTCAATTGTAAAAACTTGGAAATTCTTGATTTAGGAGACAATCACTTCAACGACACATTTCCAATATGGTTTGAAACTTTGCCAAATCTGAAAGTTTTAAGCTTGAGATCGAACAAATTACATGGGCCAATTAGAGCTTTAAGTAATGAAGACATGTTTTCTGAGCTTAGAATCATAGATCTCTCTTACAATGCTTTCACAGGAAACTTATCGACTAGTCTGTTTCAAAAATTGAAAGCCATGAGGACAATTGATCAAACAGCGAAGGTACCAACATATCTTGGTAAATCTGGAGAGAGAGATTACAATGATTCTGTAACAGTTTCATTGAAGGGAATGGATTTTGAACTGGATAGAATTTTGACAATTTATGTCAATATTGATCTTTCAAGTAACAACTTTGAAGGGTATATTCCAAGTAATCTCGGAGATCTCATTGCACTTCGGGGTCTAAATTTGTCTCATAATAGATTGCAAGGTAATATACCAACATCACTTGGAAATTTATCTTTTGTTGAATCATTGGATCTTTCGTTTAATCAGCTTTCAGGAGAGATACCACAACAACTTGTTGGTCTTACATTTCTTTCATTCTTAAATCTCTCTCACAATCATCTCCGAGGATGTATTCCTCAAGGACGTCAATTTGCTACATTTGAAAATAATTCATATGAAGGTAATGATGGATTACAAGGATTCCCTATTTCGAAAGGTTGTGGAAGTATTTGGCCGCCAGAGACAAATAATGGCGATTATGAGCCAGATGATGAAGAAAGCAATTCTGAATTTATGAATGATTTTTGGAAAGCTACTCTTATGGGATATGGAAGTGGGCTATGTATTGGAGTATCCATTATATATATCATGATCTCAACTGGAAATATGATATGGCTTGCAAGAATCATTGAAGGGTTGGAGTACAAAATTATTATGCGACAGAGAAAAAGGCAGCAAAGTCAAAGGCACTAAACATTTCAGGTATACAAGCTAAGTGAGTTCTAGTTTGATCTATATGTCTAAATTTTCATGTTAGTTATATCCAAAGCATATTTCTTTTTCCAAAATCAATTGGTAGAAGCAATAAAAATGGATTAAGTTTTTCAAAATAATAGTAGTGAGACTTAACTTCTCTTGGTGTAAAAATAAAAATCAGATAATAAATAAATAAATTCCAACATGCATGCAGGTGCTTGGAGGAACATTTGGTGGAATGCTCAACAGAGATGCAATAATATCATATGTTGCTAGCTTATTAGCTAGTTTTTACTTTTTGGTTTAATTTCTTTTTAAGTTGTATAAGTAAAGCCATTTCTTCTTCCTTTTTCTATTAACTTGGAAAAATGTAATGTTATGTACTTTGATGGTATATCAAGTTTATGTAAGATATTAATGTATTCAATATATGTTGTGTACTATTGGATGATATGTATGCATTTCTTGGATTCAAGTATGAGAATACTTCCTATGTCCCTATCTAATTTGTCCATTTTTTTTCTAATTTAATTCTCTTTTTGCTTGTCATTTTTGATAAATCAAGAAAGGATAATTTATTTTTTTATATTAATTTCTTTGAAAAATGTAGTGAGTAAATGTGTTTAAGACTCTATTAAACTCACTATTGCAATATTATTTTTTTAATAGGCGTGTCAAGTCAAAATTTGACAAGTAAAACGGGATTGAAAGAATGTATATGTAGCCTTTGACAGGTACAAAGTACCAAAAAAAAATTAAAACAGCCTCTGAAGCTTCAAATTATTCAACAAGAAACCTCACTACCACCATCACATATAAAAATTAACACTAACATGCATTAAAGTTGTGAGACTTCAATATTACGCTACTTAAAAAATCACTATATTTTTTCTACAAAATTTTCTATCTAAAAATATTCAATGGCTATTCCATAGATAATTAGAGATTGAATCGGTATGAAAAGAAAAAAATAGTAATTGTTTCATATGGAAAAATCAGAAAGTTTCCTTGTTATATGCGTTGGGAAATACTCCCTCTGTCTCAATTTATGTGACACTTTTCATTTTTCGAGAGTCAAACAGCTTAAGTTCGACTAGAAATTTGTGTGTGGAATCTTCAAAAAAAAATTAAATGAAATTTATATATTTGTGAACTATGTAAAAAGTACTATAAGTCACAATAATTGGCATTTCAAAATAATTAAAAGATATATGCAAAATTTACGGTCAAAGATAGACTTGCTTAAATCTCAAAATTCGAAAAGTGCCACATAAATTGGGACAGATGAAGTAATGGAAATTGGTGTATTGGGTTGGTATTCATATATATAAGAATTGTGTATGGTAATTTAATGATGTGAGCTTGTTAAACAACTTGGATTAAAATTAGAATCTTGTTGATTTGTGTGACTTGATTATGTGTGGCAATAGACTGAATGAGATGAACACTTAATGATATGCTTTGATTAATTGTTGTTGGATATTGGTGTTGAATTATCATCCTCATATTTGATCAATGCACTATTATGTTTGCATTTATGTTGTACCACTGTTGTGATGATATTGGTGAGGATGAGAGGAAATAGGAATTTGGCCCCACGTCCATGGTTGAAACATTGAGTGGGAAAAGGGAATGGGCCATATATTTTTGGCAGATTCATTGAGATAAAATTGGGATCGGGCCACACGTCTATGGTAGATGCATGGACTAGGAAGTCCCCTATGTGTTCCGTGATTTATAGATTGTTAGGTTGGGTTGATTTATGTGTAGGTTGTAGTTTGTGGAAGTTCGATTGGAATGAAAGGAGTGTATGTATTCTGCTTTGGTTGACATAGCGTTTAGTAGTTTGTCTGTTGAGTCCCGTGTGGTTTGGTACTCACTCCTTACTTCTACACTTGTGTAGGTCACAAGCCCAGATCTATGTGATTATCCTTCTTCTTTACTTCGTCCGAGGCTTTTCTGTGGATACTTGAGAGGTAGTTGCTTGTCATCTCAACGAGCCGTCTTGTTCCTTTATTATGTTATTGTTCTACTCTAGAAACAAAGACATTTGAGACTTGTAATTTTCTTCAATTCAGCTGTAATAGTGGCTTGTACATGTGACAACCAGATTTTGGGGATATTTTTGAGCTGACTAAGTTACCCGCATTTATGCCATTGATATTTTAATTTCCGCTTTTCTATTGTTATGTTTTGGATTTTCGGCTTACTTGTCACGGGTGGGATAAAACGAGTGCCTCGTTACAAAAAAACATGCATCCATAAGCTTTGTGTATTATTAGTACCTTGTTAATTCAGTACACTTTTAGCATGTGTATATGTAATATTTGTATCAGTTATATGCTTTATTGTGTATTGAGGTGTGTATTACTAATACCATAGATTTTTATGTACTAGTAATACAAAAGGTTTCAAGACATGTATTAGATTGATTAAAGGCATAATAACCCTTCAAATCCTTCTCAGCACATTTTCTATTTTCCAAATCTATAGAGTGTGGAGGGTATTATCCTAAACAAATATTTTTTATAGAAGTTATGCAATATGTTTTATTAATGCAAGTATTACTAATACAAGCATTATGAATACATGTATTACTAATACATTCTACCAAATGATCCCGGAATGTAGAACCAATGCTTACCTAACAAGATACTAATAATACAAAAGGTTAATGCATGCATTATTTTTTCTAATAAACTTTACCAAATGACAAGAAAAATTTGTGTTTTGCTTGTTTTCTTTAATTTCTTCGACAAGAAAAACAATAATGTTGTTAGACAAATAGAGCCAAACTTGACGTAATCCATAAGACTTGGGCATTGACTTGAGGATGACAACATTTTCCAAATTTTGAATTGATTGATTATTTGATATGAATAAATTGTACGATCGGTAATTTATTTCATAGAAGAAAGTTAGAATTTGTGTCCCTCAAATTGAAGAAGCATTATGTAAATGGAGATAATTATTTTCCCTACCTAATTATTGAACCAATTTTTGACTAAGTCTACCCTATCATTATCTATAGTCAACCCATTTGAATCTTTAAGCATACTTTGTATTGAGAGTTATTTCAATGTTTAAAGTGTCTTGATGATCTAGCTAGGTAGGAGTAAACTTATTTCATTTGTATAGCGAGGTGGGTGCTAGCTATATTAATTTGTGTGTCTAATAGTTATTTGAGGAGGAACAAAGATTAAAGTGTGGAGTAGTAGTACTGTGCAATTTATATTATTTTAATGGCTTTAAGTCATGTACGGCCCCTTAAAGTTGTCCGCATAATTCACTTAGACACATCAACTAAGACTTGTACCTATTGAACACCTCTACCCTTTCGAATTTGAACCATTTAAACATTTTTTTGACAATAAGCTAAAAATATAGAGTGTGTGAAATACACACGCGATGACATGGCATTTCAATAAATTAAATAACGACATCTGTTTTTTTGAGTCCAAAAGATTATTAAAAAAGTATTATAAAGTAAATGAAAAAAGGATTTATTTTTAAGTAGCAAATAAAAGAAAAAATAAAGGTTGTAACCCACCCCTGTTATCCCATTGGAGCCAAAACGTAACCCAGCTTTTCCTCGGCGGTGCTACCCACGACACGGCAAACCACCCATGTTATATTGTTTTTAAACATTTTTGATACTTCTGCAATAGAGAATCAAAAGAAGAAGCAGAAGTACTGAAAAATTTATGGCTATTTTTGATGGGTTGGGGAGGAATTGAGTCAATTCCTCCAACACGTTATTTTTCGTCAATCTCTTAAATAATCAAAACTAATTGTAACTTTCTTCTTCGTTCCATTTTTGGTTCAAGAAAAACGAATTATGTCGGAAAATTAATAAGTTCTTATCGACATTGTTAGAAAAAATAGAGTTACATCAAATTTCTTTGTCAGATTTATAACTGATTTTTTTTTAATTGAAGAACACCTTACATTTACATAATATTTATTTTGATTTAAAGAAACAAATTTCAAACTTCAATCCTCTACAAATTAAATGATGAAAATGACGGTAATGATGGCAGTCATGGCGGTGGGCAGGTGGCAATGACGATGATGTCAATCTTAATATGAATGACAATGGGGAAAAAATTAAAAGGAGCAACGATGGAGGTAAACGAATGCAAATATCCAGAGGAAAAAAAGAAAGAACGATGTATGGCCGGCGGCAGCAAACTAGTGTAAGAGTAACGGATGGAAAAGAGGTGAGGATTGAGGAAGAAGAAAAGGTATTTTTTCCCCACAAAAATGCCTAATTAAATACCTTCACGCGCCTATCTGAAGTGAATCACAAACAAGGTGCCATGTAGGCAAAAAATGTTTATACGGTTCAAATTCAGAAGGGTAGAGGTGTTCAATAGGTACATGTCTTAGTTGAGGTGTCTAAGTGAATTATGCAGACAACTTTAAGGGGCCGTACATGACTTAAGACTATTTTAATCATATTTTTTCCTTGTTTTGATTTTATTTCTCCCATGTCTGTGCCTCGCGTCATGAGGTGGCACAGACATTGGAAAACTTTTGCCCTTTCCTAGTCCAACTTGGTGGATTCTTTTATTAAATATTTTTAAATATTAATTATAAATATTCATTCTTAGCCATTTTTAGAAGGAAAAATCACCTCATATACACATTTAAGAGTCAATATTACAGGTTTTAAATCTACTTTTAAAAAATTCTTGCTTATAACAGTTTAATTACGGGTTATAACATATCACTAATTATTTATAAATTAATTAAATTTTACTTTATTAAATAAGTAATTTTTTATAATTTTATATTACTATTAAATTATTTAAATAAAGAATATCCCATAATTATCTCTTACACAATTATAGGGATTT